AACTGTGTATGCTTATCAAACATTTTTGTAACACAGCATGCTATTTCTGGTGTATTTATTTATGAAAGTGTAACAATTTAAGAACATGACACAACTGCCGCTGCTGTTTGACAAGAATTCGCGCCGTGTCAAAATAGTATCCAATTGGGTGTAAGGGAAATAACTCTTACGTTGGTAAAGTCGCATTGGGAAATATAATTCAAATGTATTCCAAGAACATTTGTGAGATTTTGTATATTCAATGACGGTAAATATAGTCGCTACAAATATTAATAATTTTCACTAATATGAATAAAAAATAAATAAAAGTAAAAGGAGTACAATGTCTCTTTTCTCCATGCATGTTTTCCCACTACTGTTAATTATCCTTCATTTCACAAGCAAAAAATGCACTTATTCTTTATTATCCATTCACCGATTGCCATTCTGCACGTAAACGCTCATGTCACATCATTGGAGGATGCTAATTAATGAAAATTACAACAATGCGTCACACTTAAAGAGGGTGAAAAAAGAGGAGAGGGACAAATGTTTTTAAGGCATCATTTAAGAGGTGATTGATTTTGAAAATCCTAAACGCAACATCATCAGATGACCTGATTTTTCAATTAGCAGAATACAGAACACATATCTGAGTTATTATAGTAGATTTTTATGCTCAACGTGTCACTGAAGCAAATAAATTTAAAGTGGTGAGCGGCTGTAATGTCACACTGACATAATTCTAGTTTTTAGCCTGTGATACTTATCCTTGTTCCCAATCTTGCAGATATTCCCAAGTCAAAGAATACAGATAAAAGTTTCTCAAAGAGCTGGAGTAAGAACGAGCCCCAGGGAGCTGGTGTGGATAAGTCGCCTTCTGCTACTCTGGGCGGATTTGAGCGTGGGAAGTACAAGAGTGATGGTACGTATGATAAATAGTGAATGACAACTTATAAAAGGCATCACTATGAAGATTTGATGAATTAAACTGTCTGAATTCAGTCCATTACATTACTGTTTACTGCAATATTTTTCCTCTGCAAAGTTTATGCCCTCTGTCTTGAAAATAAATTTTGCTGGTGTTGAGTTCACCCATGTGTATTTACTGTTACATTAAATGTGCATGTGAAGCAGATCAGAATAGAAAATATATGATATATAATGACCGACTACAATACTAGCAGCTTTCACCCTTCACAGGGCCCTTCAGGTTTATTTCAAAAGGACAACATCCTGACATCACAATAACATGTCACCACACTACAGTAGTAACGTGATCTCGTAATGTATACAAGTTTAAATACGTATTTGTATATAGACAAAACAGGTTTTGGCCCTTGGTGAAGGTTTCATACTCTAATTCATGTACAAAAAGGGAGTAAATGAAACAAGGGCAAAAGTTTCCTTCTTTCTACACCTATTCTTTACTGGTTGTGTAATAAAGCTATCCACACATGCAGACAAGAAATAATGGCAAAATTTGACCATTTTTCATTTTTCATGTGTTTCTTCAGGAGCAGGTGGAGGACGTGCAAGGCCTGACCTGAACAAACAGAGGTCTTTAAGTGGCGAGCCGTCACCCTCCCATTCCCGCACCCCCTCAAACGCCTCGGACACCGTGCTCTACACTCGTAGCAGTAGTGAAGGCAACCTCGCTGAAGCCAGCGATCTTGTGGAGCGACTCAAAGGTACAAGCCGCAGAGGGCTAGAATCATAATAGGATATCGGGGAAGATATGAGCACCAATCTAATCAATCGGTTTATAATAAATTTAATTTCCTCCATAGGATTTTGAGGTTTGTGAGAGCTTTTAATAAACTGCTAACTGCTGTTTCTAAGTTAATTATATTTCACTAATATTTTTATTTGTGATACTGTTTCATAAGCTTAATTCGTGATTGTTACAGTTACACATTTATGTAAAATCAAATAAATGAGATTCACACATTTGTGAATGGAGATTTGTGTGAAAAATAAAACCAAACCAAACAAAATACAACTTGATTAATTGACAAGAATGAGGTTTTGCTTGGTACAAAATTGTCGAAAACCAATATAAGTATATCTCTGTTTTGAGTTCGTTGTATGAAGCTTGCATTCAAACACAAAAATTGATTTTTCTGAAAATATTATAATTCACATTAATCAAGCTTGTGGCAAGTGCATCCTGAAGTGTGAGCTTCAAAATTCTGTATTGTTTTATGACTTGTAAGAATAACTATGCTAGGACTGAGCTTTTTGCAAATTCTGTGTGGAATTAATGAATTTCTCTTGCTTTAAGAAGATACCGCCTTCTTCAAGTCTTTCTGTCTAGTGCGCACACAATACATCTTTTGCAGAATTTTGCTTGATGTAAAATGATACATACTAAATATCCTATAACATGGAATTTCCTATAATCAGAAGAAACGCTGACAGGGTCTGTTGTAAATTTGAAGAGTTGAGCTCTGTGGGAGAGAAATGTACGGCTGTTTCTCTTTGAGTTGCTTGCTGATGAGCTTCCAATCTGTGATAACCTGCCTTGTTTTGATAGATTAGTATTTGAGTTGATTTACTGTTGTTATTGTTGATCATGCAATGTGAAACATCCATCAAAACCCAATTTCACAATCATCTATTATTTAATAACATCGTAAATTATAGTTTTTCCATTATATTGAATTTCTAACTAAAGTCATTTGGGAAAAAATAATAATAATAGGGATATTTCAGAATGAAATTGAACAGAGGTGCTGTATTTAAAAAAACCCAAACATTGGTTGTTGGTTTAGCTGTAATACAGTCACATTTATTGTTTCACGATGTAATGTTTGATGGAGAATTCAACAATTGATGAAGGGTCATCTAAACTTCACTCCCAAATAATAATTTAGGTAAGAGAGATTTGGAGGATGATTTTGAAACTTGGGTGACAATATAGGTTGTAATGAGACTAGTCCCTGTTGGTATGTTGTATTTTCAGTGACAGCTTGGCTTTTGTGTACATATATTGTATGCGTATCGCCAACTCTGTTGTTTGCATTGGAAATAAGAAAAGTATATGAGTTCTATTTGCATATTAGGATTTTTTTATTTTTTTTAAAACAAACGAAAAAATCTTCAGCTACATATATGAACATAAGAAATGATTGTTTATAACCACAATGAAAGTGAAGAAAATAGCAGTGATTGAAATAAGAATTAATAAAACTGAAGGCCCTATTATTCCACAGTTAAAAACTTGGATCTACTACTTTTTTCCAAGTTTAAAAATTGATCAAATAAACCCAAAGTTGTGATCGATTTCAAATTTCTTCAGAACATGGTTATATTGAGATGTCCTGTTTCGTTGAACATTATGAGATTTTGTAAAGAAAGAAATGCGTACCGAAGGCTATCGTCTTGTTATGTTAGGTTTGAATGAACAGTTGAATTTTGTTGATCTTTGTTGATCTTAATACTTAGACTTGAAAATAATAATAAAAAAAATGGTAGTACCTTGTAAACAAATATTTCTGTGTATACAAAGGTTTCTGGAACCTCAGCATGCAGTTTAACAAGAGTCCACTGTATTTTAACATTGTGCTAGATGTTGTCAGTATTTATCCACTGTATAGAGAGCTGAGCTAATCATACTGATTGGCAAGCATAGCCATAAATCTGGTAAAATTGGTTGTAATCATGCCCCCAAACCAAGTTGATCCATTTTCTTTGATGCCCCGTACCAAATTGATCGGATCCACAATACTCTTAGTGTATTGGAAATATTTTATAATCTTGCTCAAGATATTTATTATAGGGTTGGAAACTCATAGGAGAATTCTATAGCTGGTCCCTTTTGGGTTTGTTCACAGAATCCTTAACTCATCTAGGCCTTTCAGTGCCTGTATCCATCTATGCTCCATTTATTATGCCTCTAGTCAATAGTGTAAACGTAGCACGGGTCAGTCTCCCCAGTGTCATCACGCTGGTTGGTGAAAAGTGAATATCATTTTCAAACCGAAAATAACACAAAACTAACATTAAAACTTACACTTTCTATCTGAAATTACTCAGTAGTCTAGTGCTCATGATTTTGATAAGTAAGTACATGTATTTCTGTTTGAGAACAGGATGGTATTTTATCTTTTTATAAATTGCTATTTAATATTGTTTACATCGACAAACAATGCCAGAGTTTGATGCATGTGTAGCGGAACTGGACTGGGTTGATCGTCAACGACCAGACAGCTCAATTGGTTGAGAGTCAGTCTAGAGTTCGGAAGGTCCCGGGTTCGAACCTTGGTCTGGCCGTGCATTTTTCCTCTCCTGTTACATTTGGCGCCCAACGAAATATACCCACAGAAGGTGGTGTAGGGTCTTGTGTGTCTTCGGAGTCTAAGACTTTGTTAAAGGAGGGAGGAATGTAGCGGAACTGGACTGGGTCGATTGTCGGCGACCAGATAGCTCCATTGGTTGAGCGTCCGTCTAGAATTTGGAAGGTCCCGGGTTCGAACCCTGGTCTGGCCGTACATTTTTCCTCTCCTGTTACGCATGGATAATTCTGGTTAATAAAAATGATCTGCAACAAAAATAGCACATGCAATGTGAAAATCACTCAGCTGTTGATTTTGAAATGTGATTAGTTAAGTACTTTCAGAGAAAGGTGGTCAACAAAGACATCAAGGATGGTATTTTTTTCACCAAAAATATTCTGTTATTACATGGATATCTCAGAAATAGATTTTAAAATTCCCCACAGATTACATCAACAAGATGAAATATAAACTGCCTACAAAAATACAAACTAATGAGGTAGTTATACTATAGGGATTTTCATATTAAAACATGCGATAATGAAAACATCCCCAATGGGCGTTCATTTCCCTCTCTCTGAATCAAGGGAGTTAACTCATATTCGACATGCTATTGACTTAGGTACTAGAAGGAAAAACAAGTTTCCAGTCCCCATTATATATATCCTGCCTCTCTTGCTCTGGTCAAATTAGTCATCATGCATAGCGTTATGTTCTAAAATATATCAGTATTGTGTTACTTACTTAAGTTAATCTAAATAGCAAGTATGTAGTTCATATATATTCAAAAAAACCCCAAACAGATCTATGATCCAATCCAACACATAATTGATATAATCCAATCCCAATCTAAATTGATATGATCCAATCTGAAACTTCGTCGATTTTAATGTCAAGGATTGACGGTCTCATATCCCAACCATTTATCGTGCACACACCCCAATTCAGTTCATGTATCCCCGTACAGATGACCAATCTGATTGGTCCGATCAGCAAGCATTGTGGTAGAGAGAGTTGTTGTACTCATGCCCTAATCTGAGTTTTGTTTTACATAACAGGTATTGATATAGATAGTGTTGCTAACCAGAAAAGCCTGGATGGCTACCCAGCATGTAACATAACCATATCAGTATCCGCCTATAAGATATCGGATAGCATAGGTAGGTACTGGTCTCCAATCTGCATGGTCTCCGCCTCTTCACTCTGGGCTGGCTAACTTCTTTTTGGCGACACATGCATATCATTCTATTCATGTTCCCCTTTCATTAGTTTGGTTTGCTTTTTAGCGGCAGTAAGCTTCACAATCGTAGACACTAACGCCTTTACTACTCGTACGTATATTTGTGTCTGTCCGTCAGCTGAAAGCTTGTTTTGCACGGCCTGGCTAACCTTGTTTGATAACCAATTGCTGTTGTTCATGCAGTTTGCAGTGTTGTGTTAGTATAAATGTCTTTAATCAATATGTTTGTCATGTTCTGAATAACACACTTTACCTGTTATGGAAATATTCTCCATGATCCTCAAAACCCAAATCCCTTACACTTGTAAATTGAATCTGATGATATAGTTAACAAACCCTGTCTAATCTGATACCTGAGTATTCTGACATTTTGCTAAATCCAACATAATGCTGTTGTTCCATTTCCAGTGGTAATTATCCAACAAGACCTGTGTATTCTGACATCCTATCCAATCTGGCCAATATATTGTACTGCACGTGGTGTCAGACTAGACAGGTTCCACTAAGTTTAACTGGTCATGGGTCTGTTGGTATTTTCAGGAAGCAATTCATCCACTACGGAGTTTTAAGATTTCCTTATCACTGCTGCATGTGAAACATATGTTAGAAACAGGAAGATGTGTACAGCTAAGTACGGAAAAGTCTGCTCTTGAACATTACAGCATTGCTTCCTGTCAAAGGGAGTTGACAGGAAGTTGAGTCTTGGTCAACAGTCTAGATAGAAATCTTTTCTCGTTATGTCAGTAGCTGTGTAATGGAATGCCTACCATGGTTCAGGGAATGCAACATTATCTCAACTTAAAAAGCCTTGTGTGGAAATATTCAAAATTTTATGTTTAGCAGTCAAGTACCAGATTATTTTTACATTAGATTCATTGTGTACCTAGATGTTTTCAAGGATTATAGACAATATTTACCTTTGTATACTATGGGATAGAGTTCAGTGAGGATGTAGTGTGTTTATTTTTGTGTACTTGAGAATCAATGTCTTTACTCATTAGCATGTATTCCGGGATCAGATTCAATGTTATCTGAAAGTGTTCTGGGATTTAATGCAATTTTCGCCTGCGTGAAATCTGGACCAAATTATTGTTTCCTTAAGTGTACTACTAGTTTCAACAAATGGTTCTCTGAGAGAGCACTCCGATTACTGCTTTAGTTTTCCTGATTCAACATGTGGCGGAGATTTGTCAGGAAATTAAAAAAGTTGCCGTCAGGTACAGGTAACTTTTGTGGTTATTTTGATTCTGGTATATATAACATCCTTATAAGTATTTTGCATAGTATTATATTGGTTATGTGGAAGTTTTTGTAGCTCTGACAAAACTAATGAAATGTAAGAATTATTCACTTGTAGATATTAGAGGCCAGATTCTACATCCAGTTTCATAGCCTGTCTGACAGGATGATCAAATTTTACTTAAGAGTCATCAAACTTATGTTCTTTTAGATAGATGGATGATTTAAATGAATTTTATTTCGTAAAATGATAAAGAGCTAAAAAAAATCAAAACCAAATCAAAGCCCCATTTTAGTAGAACAGACTGATTCTTTATGCTAGATATAAAGTAGTACTTCTGTGCACTGTACTCAATGTTAAACAGTAATGAATGTCAAAAAGCATTGATGATCTGACATCTTTTTATGTACCTGTATAGTCTTGCAATGTAACTTCCTGGCTCTACCAAACTAGGATACAGTGTAGCTTGGGCAGATTGAGCATTGGAATACTAAAATCAAGCCTTACACCCAAATTAATTCAGAGTTATGACCTTTTGTTTATTAGGGCCCTGTATCGGAGATACGGGTGCCCTATAGTAATCACTCTGCCTGTCTGTCTGTCTGTCCGTCCACAAATTTTGTTCCTGGCTGATAACTTTGGTATTTATTGACCTATGTACATGAAACTTGGTCAAGATGTTCAGTTTACAAAAATACAAATTGAGGTAAAAAGTCAAGGTCAAAGGTCAAGGTCATTAGGTTCAAAGGTCAAGGTCAAATTTTACATCTTTTCACTTATGAACATTTTGTTATGACATTATGAAGCAAAGTTGATAAGAATTAAACAATGAGTCAACTGACCAAAGGTCAAGGTCGTCGGGTCAGGGGTCAAGGTCAAATTTTGTAGCTATTCACTGATGAACATTTTGCTATGACATTATGAAGCAAAGTTGTTCGGAATTAAACAAAGAGACACACTGAGATAAAAATTCGAGGTCAAAGATCAAGGTTAATAGATTCAAAGGTCAAGGTCAAATTTTGCATCTTTTCACTGATGAACATTTTGTTATGACACGATGAAGCAAAGTTGATCACAATTAAACAAGGAGTCAACTGACCAAAGGTCAAGGTCACTGGGTCAAAGGTTAAGGTTAAATTTTGTACCTTTTCCCTGATGAACATTTTGTTATGACATTATGAAGCAATGTTGTTCAGAATTTAACACCGAGTCAACTGACCTTAGGTCCAGGTTACGGGGTCCAAAGGGTCAAGGTCAAGTTTTGTATTTTTCACCGATGAACATTTTGTTATGATTTTAAGAAGCAAAGTTGGTTGGAATTAAAGAATAAGTCAACTGACCAAAGATCAGGGTCACTGGGTTAATGGTCAGGGTCTTTTGGGTCCAAAGGTCAAAGACAATGTGGATCTCTGACTTTGACCCTGGCTCTTGATGGAGGAGGTAAATAAGGTGAAATAAAACAAATCAAAGCTAACAAATGAGTATTGCACCGGTATTTACATTTCTGTTAGCCCAGCAAATATGGAGGTGGAAGGAAACAAGACTCACATCATAGTACATGTAAAATGTATATTTTGCTTCCTTGCGATTCTTTTTGAAGTCCAAATGTCAAACGTCAAGCTCAGCTATATGGGCAGATTGCTTCTTGATGATTATGGGGGATATATTGCCACAAGACGGGGCCCTTACTGACCTGTCAGTGTTCTAGTTTTTAATGCTGATTTTTTTTTCATTTTTTCCCATTTTATACATTTTCACGAAGGTGATTGGCTGGCTTATTAAGATCCACAGTTTGTAATTTCAAAACAATTTCAGAACAATTTTCACTAGCAAACAGCCAAAAATTTAAATCCTCGATCCTATTAAGAACTTACTATCAATTTAATTTGCATTACATTGTGTATGAACTTATTGTTATGACCTATATGCATTCTGGTGTGTGCTTTTTATAAACTTAATGTAAAAATATGTATTACATTGTGTACTGTCTGTAATATTAATGTTTAAATATCCATTACTCTGTGTATTGTGCGCTTAACCTATTTGCATAGTGTTTAACATTTAAGCATGGTCCTTTTTATTGACTAACAAATATCTGTTTTGTGATCTTTATATTTTTTTTATTTCTTATTAGTATGAGTAAAAGAGATTGAGTTGATATTTTAACAGTAATGCTAGCTTTTATTGTTTTCGTTAACATTCGCTCCAGCATGAATGTGGCTGAAAGGAAAATACAATATTATAATCTAAGCTAGATAGTGTTATTTGATTTTGTACTGACCAATAGCAATAGAATGTTGTTTTTGACTAGTAAACATTCCTACAATATTGTACTGACTGGACGTTGTTCCTTAAGGATAGTGTGTATTCCTGGTACATGTAGTACAAACATTTGTTGATTTTTTTATGGTTTTTTTTGGAACGTCTTTTTTAAAGGTCAGTATTAATTAATGCATGAATATGAAAGATATCTTGTGTTTTCCACACTCCAGGAGCTGCCACGCCTGAGGATCAGGAGGTAGCAGAGATCACTCTAGCGTCTAGTCTACCGAGCGCCCATGACATGGAGTACAGTGTGGAGAGTGCAAGTCTGGATAGATCTGACGACACAGCTTTTAGGTGTAAGTACAGAGTTCTATATCAGATATCTAGACATTTATATTATACAGATATAAACATGTTGTTGTGAAAGTTTCGGTCTGTACAGTGTACCACAGGCTCTTTTGACTGCCGTTGATTTTCACTGTTTGTTGTTTATTTAGATTCACGTACACCTTCGCCGTTGTCTCTCCACTCCAAGTCGCGGTCGCCCTCTCCCTGTAGCGAGCTGACAGTGGAGGGGATTACCAACCACAAAGACTGCCCCACCCCTGACCGCGACAGTCTCCACATAGAGATGGTGGCCACAGAGGAAATCCCTATAGGTAAAGGTAAGGACAGTGCCACCATTTTGATTCCTCATGTGCTGGATTCTCTACGGAATCCCCCTTTTATACAGAATAATTGTTGAAGAACATCATAGTCCAAAGTACTTTGAAATCTTACTTTAAAACATACTGGGATTGTTTTGTTTAGTGATATTTCTACCTGGATTCCACAGGGGCAAGTGCCTTGTGACTTCGGGAAGATATTACATATAAGAAGCATGATTTGGGAAAATATAGTGATTATTGCACTGATTTAGGGTCTGAAATTAGTGGAAGTGACCTTATATCGGCCCATAAGTCGCATTGAAACAATTCGTTGTTCAAAGGGAATAACACACTTTTTCTGTTGAAAATGTGTTAAGCATATATATACAATAAATGAAAATGATCCATAATAAAGTTTTGAGGTTTAATCGACAAGAAATTAACACTTGAAAGTGCCTGAATAGAAGTGTTTGACAAAGTTCCACTGTTTTTGTTTGTATAGAGTCAATGGAGGACATGAAGAGTGTATTGGCTGGAGGGGCTGTGATTGGCTGGACACCAGACGTGGCCGTGGTGATGTGGAGGCGGATGCTGGGGTCTCTAGGCAACATCAACCAAATAGAGGACGGCGAAAACCACGCAATTGTCTACGAGGAGCTCAGCTTCCTACTAGAAACTCTGTATAAGGTAGAGGCGCTATCATCTTGATTAACAGTCAGTAGCAAGTACTGAGAAAATTATGCGGCAAAACAGTAGTTGTCAGATTTATTAGCTCATTTTAATTTTTGTAACTTCTTAAAATCTACTTAACCTCTAAGACTTAGTGCACATCTTGATTTGTTGAAAACATATATCTAGTAGTAGAATAGGCCATGCTTAAATGTCAGTGTTTAACATGCAAAAATCAATGTTATTTTTGTTATGTCTTCTTCTGAATTTCTACTGTAGTCATTACTTTGATATTATGTATTTTCCATGAATAAGGGATTTATTTCTGTATTTGTTAATATTAGGGACTTCAGTTGATAAAAGGGACCAGGAGTAAACATGTATTGATGTGATGATTACCTTGTAGATGCGGGATAACCTTGGAGTGACTGTGGACAATATGAGCTCCCCGTCTCCGCCGGAACTCCTCCCACCCATACACCTGTACGCACCCTGGCTGTTTGAGGTAAGTACCACTAGAGTGGAGTTTCCTGTAGCTTGAACTTCTTCAGAGTCTTTGGTTTTAAGCTCCACAGAAGATTACATGGATGGTGATACAGTAAATGTGATCTGTATCGTTGTGTTTGTTACAGTGTCTGACCCTGTCCAACAAGTACAAGCGTGGCAAGTTGTTGGCGTACCAGCTCATGTGTCAGATGGTGGTCCAGCGCCACCCAGTGTCACTGCCTTCTGAACTTGTCTCACAGTTCTATCTGGCTCTCCATCAAGGCCTCACCTCCAATGACCAGGTAACACAGATTTTCTACTCTTACCACTTATCTTCTCATCCATGCTCCACACAGAGCTGACTTCTTGATGTTTAAAATTTAAAACACACCAAATAGCATACATTTTGGTATGTAATAAAAAGCAATGAAACAATACATCATTATGACTTATATAACTGTGCATTCAGGTGAGAATGACTGCTGACGAAATGTTGTACTGTTATTTCCACACAGGACATCATCAATGTATTGGTTCGAAATGCTGGAGCCCGCTTTTTCTCCATGCCGTTGTTAGGGTCGACACTACTCATCAGCGACTTCATCCATGCAGCAGGGGCAGTCCTGTCAGCAGTAGATATCACAGAGGTATGATATACACTGGTTGTATCTGGTATAAGCTTTGTGTTAATAGGCTGTAGCCAGAGTTCTGTCAGCAGTATATATCACAGAGGTATGATATACACTAGTTGTCTCTGGAATAAACTTTGTGTTAATAGGCTGTAGCCAGAGTTCTGTCAGCAGTAGATATCGCAGAGGTATGATAAACACTGGTTGTATCTGGTATAAACTTTGTGTTTATAGTCTGTAGCCAGAGTTCTGTCAGCAGTATATATCACAGAGGTATGATATACACTGGTTGTATCTGGTATAAGCTTTGTGTTAATAGGCTGTAGCCAGAGTTCTGTCAGCAGTAGACATCACATAGTTATGATAAACACTAGTTGTCTCTGGGATAAACTTTGTGTTAATAGGCTGTTGACAGAGTTCTGTCAGCAGTAGATATCGCAGAGGTATGATAAACACTGGTTGTATCTGGTATAAACTTTGTGTTAATAGGCTGTTGACAGAGTTCTGTCAGCAGTAGATATCGCAGAGGTATGATAAACACTGGTTGTCTCTGGTATTAACGTTGTGTTAATAAGCTGTAGCCAGAGTTCTGTCAGCAGAAGATATCACAGAGGTATGATTCTGTCAGCAGTAGATATCACAGAGGTATGATATACACTGGTTGTTTCTGGTATAAACTTTGTGTTAATAGACTGTAGCCAGAGTTCTGTCAGCAGTAGATATCGCAGAGGTATGATAAACACTGGTTGTATCTGGTATAAACTTTGTGTTTATAGGCTGTAGCCAGAGTTCTGTCAGCAGAAGATATCACAGAGGTATGATATACAGTGGTTGTATCTGGTATAAACTTTGTGTTTATAGGCTGTAGCCAGAGTTCTGTCAGCAGTAGATATCACAGAGGTATGATAAACACGGGTTGTCTCTGGTATAAACTTTGTGTTTATAGGCTGTAGCCAGAGTTCTGTCAGCAGTAGATATCACAGAGGTATGATATACACTGGTCGTATCTGGTATAAACTTTGTATTAATAGGCTGTAGCCAGAGTTCTGTCAGCAGTAGATATCACAGAGGTACGATAAACACTGGTTGTCTCTGGTATAAACTTTGGGTTAATAGGCTGTAGCCAGAGTTCTGTCAGCAGTAGATATCGCAGAGGTATGATAAACACTGGTTGTCTCTGGTATAAACTTTGGGTTAATAGGCTGTAGCCAGAGTTCTGTCAGCAGTAGATATCACAGAGGTATGATATACACTGGTTGTCTCTGGTATAAACTTTGTGTTAATAGGCTGTAGACATAGTTCTGGAAACTTTCATGGTCAGCCAGTACATGTAAACTTGTCAATGTACTGTGTGTAGGTTGAATGTCCATTATACTCCTAAATATTTTCATATTTCTACCAAATTTTGGACTTCTCGATGCATTTGCATGACAGCATTGTTCAGAGTTATACACCACTAGAGTCATCGGATGTTAATCCTGTGGCATCTCTCTCTAACAGACCCCTCGTACTGAAGCTGTGTCGGTGCTTGGAGCTCTCCTGTGTTTCCCAAACCACCTACAGGAGGTCCAGGTACTGCAGAACACCAATCTTTCTGTGAGCTGTTTACATCTGAATGAGTTTAAGGTGAGTCTATTTGTAAACCTGAACAGGTGTTAAACTCACCTGGTTGAAGATTCTAGGGAGATTAAACTGTTGTTAGTCATAATATGGCATCCTTAAACATTTAGTTATGAACAAATTTTTCAGTTCATGAAGAAAAAGAGCATTCCTGGGTTGAGTGAATTTGATTTTATGTAAATGAAGGTGATGGCCCCCAGCTGGGGCAGGGTGACAGGACCATATAAAGGTTGTATTTTTTTTTCTTTTTTCTCAATACTTCTTGAAAAGACTGGATCTATAGAATACTGGACGAATTTTGAAGAAATTTTGAAAATCACTGTCCTCTGCACATGATATTGATATTTTTCTGACCAATAGAGGAACAATTTCGGTTACAAATCTCTGTTTAAATTATTTTTTCAGGAACAAGTTATCAACACTTTACTGAGGACAGGAAAGAAAGAGCCAGCTGGACTGGCCAGGTCAGTAACTTGAGTGTTCAGTACCGTATAGAAGGATAATTTCACAATTTCACAGGTCATTTATAGGATCAACCTAGGATTAACTAACTGATGGGTGACCTTCATCCAACATGTAAATTATCTTGGGAGATCTATTGTAATGATTGAACTTGATCCACAAGAATTTATTTATGAATTTTTGTGAAAACTGTATGTTACAGATGTGTTGCTGTCAGTACAATAGGTATATTTCTGTACGAGGAGTTGAGCCATGGAACACTACACCCCAAACTCAATGAGGCTGTCACTGTCCTGCTGGGTACTCTAAGGGTATGTATATAGGGCTGTGTGTTATAGCCTTGGACAGGGTGTACTCATGTATGACTACCTGTTTTCTGTCCTACTTGGTGCTCTCAGGGTACATATATATAGCGACGCGTTATAGCCTTGGACAGGGTGTACTCATGTATAACTACGTCATGTTTTCTGTCCTACATGGTGCTTTCAGGGTACATATACATAGCGACGTGTTATAGCCTTAGACAGGGTGTACTCATGTATGACAACGTGTTTTCTGTCCTACATGGTGCTCTCAGGGTACATATATAGCTACGTGTTATAGCCTTGGACATGGTGTACTCATGTATGACTACCTGTTTTCGGTTCTACTTGGTGCTCTCAGGGTACGTATATATAGCGACGTGTTATAGTCTTGGACAGGGTGTACTCATGGATGACTACCTGTTTTCGGTTCTACTAGGTGCTATCAGGGTACATATATATAGCGCCGTGTTATAGCCTTGGACAGGGCGTACTCATGTATGACTAGGTCATGTTTTCTGTTCTACTTGGTGCTCACACGGTACATATATATAGCTACGTGTTATAGCCTTGGACATGGTGTACTCATGTATGACTACGTCATTTTTTCTGTCCTACATGGTGCTCTCAGGGGACATATATATAGCTGTGTGTTATAGCCTTGTACAGGGTGTACTCATGTATGAATAGGTCATGTTTTCTGTCCTACTTGGGGGTCTCAGGGTACATATATATAGCTACGTGTTATAGACTTGGACAGGGTGTACTCATGGATGACTACCTGTTTTCGGTTCTACTAGGTGCTCTGAGGGTACATATATATAGCTGCGTGTTATAGCCTTGGACAGGGTGTCTCATGTATGACTACCTGTTTCCTGTCCTACTTGGTGCTCTCAGGGGACATATATATAGCTGTGTGTTATAGCCTTGGACAGGGCGTACTCATGTATGACTAGGTCATGTTTTCTGTCCTACTTGGGGGTCTCAGGGTACATATATATAGCGGCGTGTTATAGACTTGGACAGGGTGTACTCATGTATAACTACGTCATGTTTTCTGTCCTACTTGGTGCTCTCTGGGTACATATATATAGCTGTGTGTTATAGCCTTGGACAGGGGGTACTCATGTATGACTACCTGTTTCCTGTCCTACTTGGTGCTCTCAGGGCACATATATATAGCGTCGTGTTATAGCCTTGCACAGGGTGTACTCATGTATGAATAGGTCATGTTTTCTGTCCTACTTGGGGGTCTCAGGGTACATATATATAGTGACATGTTATAGCCTTAGACAGTGTGTACTCATGTATGACTACCTGTTTCCTGTCCTACTTGGTGCTCTCAGGGCACATATATATAGCGTCGTGTTATAGCCTTGGACAGGGTGTACTCATGTATGACTACCTGTTTTCGGTTCTACTAGGTGCTCTCAGGGTACATATATATAGCGTCGTGTTATAGCCTTGGACAGGGTGTACTCATGTATGACTAGGTCATGTTTTCTGTCCTACTTGGTGCTCTCAGGGTACATATATATGGCTGTGTGTTATAGCCTTGGACAGGGTGTACTCATGTATGACTTCCTGTTTTCTGTCCTACTTGGTGCTCTCGGGGTACATATATATAGTGACGTGTTATAGCCTTAGACAGGGTGTACTCCTGTATGACTACCTGTTTTCGGTCCTACTAGGTGCTCTCAGGGTACATATATATAGCTGTGTGTTATAGCCTTGGACAGGGTGTACTCATGTATGACTAGGTCATGTTTTCTGTCCTACTTGGTGCTCACAGGGTACATATATATAGCTACGTGTTATAGCCTTGGGCAGGGCGTACTCGTGTATGACTACCTGTTTTCGGTTCTACTTGGTCATAGCGACGTGTTATAGCCTTAGACAGGGAGTACTCATGTATGACTACCTGTTTCCTGTCCTATAGCCTTGGACAGGGGGTACTCATGTATGACTACATCATGTTTTCTGTCCTACATGGTGCTCTACTTGGTGCTCTCAGGGTACATATATATAGTGACGTGTTATAGCCTTGGGCAGGGTGTACTCGTGTATGACTACCTGTTTTCTGTCCTACTTGGTGCTCTCAGGGTACATAGATATAGCTGTGTGTTATAGCCTTGGACAGGGTGTACTTCTGTATGACTACCTGTTTTCGGTCCTACTTGGCACTCTCAGGGTACATATATATGGCTATGTGTTATAGCCTTGGACATGGTGTACTCATGTATAACTACCTGTTTTCTGTCCTACTTGGTGCTCTTAGGGTACATATATATAGTGACGTGTTATAGTCTTGGACAGGGTGTACTCATGTATGACTACATCATGTTTTCTGTCCTACTTGGTGCTCTCAGGATACATATATATGGCTGTGTGTTATAGCCTTGCACAGGGTGTACTCATGTATGACTATGTGTTTTCTGTCCTACATGGTGCTCTCAGGGTACATATATATAGCGACGTGTTACTACATCATGTTTTCTGTCCTACTTGGTGCTCTCAGGATACATATATATGGCTGTGTGTTATAGCCTTGGACAGAGTGTACTCATGTATGACTACCTGTTTCCTGTCCTACTTGGTGCACTCAGGATACATATATATGGCTTTGTAATAGTTATAGCCTTGGGCAGGGTGTACTCGTGTATGACTACCTGTTTTCTGTCCTACTTGGTGCTCTTAGGGTACATATATATAGTGACGTGTTATAGCTTTGGACAGGGTGTACTCATGTATGACTACTTGTTTCCTGTCCTACTTGGCACTCTCAGGGTACAGATATATGGCTGTGTGTTATAGCCTTGGACAGAGTGTACTCATGTATGACTACCTGTTTTCTGTCCTTCTTGGTGCTCTCAGGGTACATATATATAGTGCCGTGTTATAGCCTTGGACAGGGCGTACTCATGTATGCCTACCTGTTTCCTGTCCTACTTGGCACTCTCAGGGTGCATATATATAGTGACGTGTTATAGCCTTGGGCAGGGCGTACTCGTGTATGACTACCTGTTTTCTGTCCTACTTGGTGCTCTCGGGGTACATATATATAGTGACGTGTTATAGCTTTGGACAGGGTGTACTCATGTATGACTACATCATGTTTTCTGTCCTACTTGGTGCTCTCGGGGTACATATATATAGTGACGTGTTATAGTCTTGGACAGGGTGTACTCATGTATGACTACTTGTTTCCTGTCCTACTTGGCACTCTCAGGGTACAGATATATGGCTGTGTGTTATAGCCTTGGACAGGGTGTACTCATGTTTGACTACGTCGTGTTTTCTGTCCTACATGGTGCTCTCAGGATACATATATATGGCTGTGTGTTATAGCCTCGGACAGGGTGTACTCATGTATGACTACCTGTTTTCGGTTCTACTTGGTGCTCTCAGGGTACATATATATTATAGCGACGTGTTATAGACTTGGACAGGGTGCACTCATGTATGACTACCTGTTTTCGGTTCTACTTGGTGCTCTCAGGGTACATATATATTATAGCGACGTGTTATAGACTTGGACAGGGTGTACTCATGTATGACTAGGGCATGTTTTCTGTCCTACTTGGTGCTCTCAGGGGACATATATATAGTGACGTGTTATAGCCTTGGACATGGTGTACTCATGTATAACTACCTGTTTTCTGTCCTACTTGGTGCTCTTAGGGTACATATATATAGTGACGTGTTATAGTCTTGGACAGGGTGTACTCATGTATGACTAGGTCATGTTTTCTGTCCTACTTGGTGCTCTCAGGGGACATATATATAGTGACGTGTTATAGCCTTAGACAGGGTGTACTCATGTATGACTACCTGTTTCCTGTCCTACTTGGTGCTCTCAGGATACATATATATGGCTGTGTGTTATAGCCTCGGACAGGGTGTACTCATGTTTGACTACGTCGTGTTTTCTGTCCTACATGGTGCTCTCAGGATACATATATATGGCTGTGTGTTATAGCCTCGGACAGGGTGTACTCATGTTTGACTACGTCGTGTTTTCTGTCCTACATGGTGCTCTCAGGATACATATATATGGCTGTGTGTTATAGCCTTGCACAGGGTGTACTCATGTATGACTATGTGTTTTCTGTCCTACATGGTGCTCTCAGGGCACATATATATGGCTGTGTGTTATAGCCTTGGACAGGGTGTACTCATGTATGACTACTTGTTTCCTGTCCTACTTGGCACTCTCAGGGTACATATATATAGTGACGTGTTATAGCCTTGGACAGGATGTACTCATGTATGACTACCTGTTTCCTGTCCTACTTGGTGCTCTCAGGGTACATATATATAACTACGTGTTATAGCCTTGGACATCATGTATGACTACCTGTTTTCTGTCCTGCTTGGTGCTCTCACGGTACATATATATAGCTGTGTGTTATACCCTTGGACAGGGTGTACTCATATATGACTACCTGTTTTCTGTCCTACTTGGCGCTCTCAGGGTACATATATATAGTGACGTGTTATAGCCTTGGACATCATGTATGACTACCTGTTTTCGGTCCTACTTGGCACTCTCAGGGTTGGTTTGTATACTTAACATGTTCAAATTGATAACCATTAATATAAACAGATCCATTTTGATCTGATGTTTTCCTGAATAGACAAAAGAACATATGAAAATCTGACAAAACCTTCTGGTCTACCTGTAGGCAGCCTATAAATCTAACAATAGTCAATGTTGTCCGTATATAACAGTTATCCTTTGATCTATGTAGAAAAAAATGCAGATAACCAAGATAAAATTCTCCTGATCTTACGGTTATGTTGAGATCAAAGATAGTCCACGCTGCATATTTACATCATGTTCAGTATTGAATGTTGACTTATTTCAGTGTATAAATCGGATGGTTTCCAAGCTGGCCTCAGACATGTTGTGTATGCTGTGCGACCACTCAGACAAACTCCTCAGCTATGATCCAGCTCTGCCAAAACGTATTATAGAGGTAAAACTACATGTTCCCATCGCTGACATGTAAAGAACAAGCTGCTTGGATTTCTTATTATTCTGAATAAACATATTACTCCTTTTTGAAAAAAGAGCTGAAAAGTTTCTAAGCCATATTTGTCTCTATAGAGAAATTAAAAAAGGGGCTTGTATCATGGGTTGAATTTTCAGTGATTGCAACGTATTAAAAAAATGTGGAATATTTTTGTTCTGTTGCACATAAATCCTTGATTAGTAATACATTGATACAGTCATACTGACGTACATTATTGACACGGCCAAATGATTGATTACAACAGGATTTTGTGTTTTAATTTCATTCATATCTTATTTGGTATCGGTTGTTTTAATATTTTTCATTTCTGTCAGGTAAAAAAGCAAACAAAAAAAGTCTCAAATATTGCCAGGGACAATAACAATGATTAATCTGTCTGCATTAATCCAGAAAATTTGCCACTGTTGATACTTGTATTAGATTCGCATCGTGTAGTGGCCACAGGGCTCTGCTGTTCAGATATTTTGACCTCTTTATCATGATCTACGACATCTATTGATATGTGGTCTCTATGACGATGTTTTTACCACTTTTTGAAGGTCATAGCAGCAACTGTGTCCACTCTCATACCGGTATCAAAGGGGACTAACTCAGAGGAGGAGAAAAAGGTAAATAGCATTTATTACAAGTTTTGGTCCAACTTAGTTCCCATTATGGCCGATTGTGCTCGAGGTATAATGACGGTTTTCTGTCATATTACTTTGCTGAAACAGGTGATTCTTTATGAAATGATCATACATTATTCAAACAATGTATCAATAAGTCCTGATAAGTGGCTTCATATCATAATTATCTTAAATCAAATGTTTGTTCAGGATAGTTTAACATTTGTGAAAGATGTGTAAGAAAAGGTTAGAATTTTAATTGACGAGTGCACATACCGGGTATTAAAGCTCAATTGAAGTCAACCCATGTTTGGGGTTCTGTGTGTGTTCAGACCGTGCCTTTCTGTTTAAAAATACCCAAAGACAGTTCAATTGTCAAAGTTTAAGCTAATAATAAATTGTATTGTTATATTCCTCGCCAAACAGTAGTGCTTTATATACATGTATTAAGAACTTTATGATCCATGATTTGTTTTTATTTGATTAAAGGATGATGTAAGTACAGATATTGCTACATCTGTATATATCAATTTGTGTTGTGGTCCTATCAAACTAAAATCAGGTCTCTGTTGTTATTCTGGTGGTAAATTATGTGTTTTGCTCTATCAAGATATTACATACCGATATTGGAGGTATTGTTTTCAGGGCTATTTTGAAAGTAAATAAAGGCATGGGGAAAGGTGGTTCACTTTTTGTTATCCCCGCCAACAAGTTCTTTTTTCTGGAGCCCCTTTCATGTTAACAAGTATTCTATGCCCCAATCCCCATATATTATCAACTATAGATACCCCCCTCTCTCTCCCCCCCCCCTTTCCCTTACTATTCATATCTGACATGTAGTTGACCTTTGAACAACATTTTAGTATTCTACAGGGATTTGAAATTGTCACAAAGGTCTGGCTGTAATCTTAAGTCCACTGCAACGAAGACATTTTGAAGATGTCCTCAATATCTCCATTGTTGTTAAGTATGGAACCATGTAGGATATTGAATGTCACCACGCTGAGACCTTTGGTCATATAAACAATGCTTTAATATCCAGAAATAGTTTTGGAAAGGAGTAAAATAGTACATATCTTTAATTAATTTTTTGAGCCTGTAATATGTTCTATTTACACTATGTTCCATGCATGAAAAAGTACATGAAAATAAACCTCTGCAAACTTGTTGTCACTCTGATGGAAAGTAAGGACTGTTTAAAAAAAATATTCATGGCATCAACACGAAATTTAGTCAAAACAAATCAATTTGTTTCAGGAACTGAAAAAAATATGTGAACATTTTTTCTTGCAAGATTTAAATGCTAGATAGTAGATTAGGTATAGTTCCTTTGTGACTATAAAGATATCACGCATGGTGAAAGGTAATTTTAGTTTCTGTGGTAAGGAAATGTCTGCTTAATGCCTATTCTGTGTTGTTGAATGGTAGATTTTGCTGTGGGATTTTGGTCTAAATATTTTTGTTCATGCTATTTATTTCATGTAAAAGTAATTCGTTCAAATAAAAAATGTTTTATAAGATTATTTTGAGTTAATCCAATTTGTCTGTGAATGCATAAGTTTTGTGATTCATTGTTTGTGAAATAAATCCTCCAATGTAGCTGTTCTAGTTCTGTTGGGTGTTTGACTTATCTGCAACCCTGTTTAAAGTTACTGAATTTTGATATTTCAGCATAAAATTTGATAGCTAGAAGCAGAATTTTAAATGAATATGGTTTAATATAAATTCTATGTGAGAAACAGAATCTCCCACAGGTGACAAAATGTGGTTGATCAAACTGGTGCGATATGATTAAAATTTGCAAAAAGAATTTGAAGATTTTCAATCATGATGAAGGAGATTCATACAGAATTTAATGAGATGCTGAAATTAGTACCAGTTGATCATGTTTATGATGATTTGTATGACATATTGAATTTGTTGCCTGTTAATTATTAATAACATTCTGTGTGACATGTTGACCCTGTGTTTGGCCAGTTGATCATGTTTATGATGGTCTGTGTGATATTATTAACTTTATGTGTTTCCAGCTGATCGTGTTTATAATGTTCTGGTGATATATTGACTTGTGTGTTTCCAGCTGATCGTGTTTATAATGTTCTGGTGATATATTGACTTGTGTGTTTCCAGCTGATCGTGTTTATAATATTTTGGTGATATATTGACTTCGTGTGTTCCCAGCTGATCGTGTTTATAATGTTCTGGTGATATATTGACTTTGTGTGTTCCCAGCTGATCATGTCGATGATGTTCTGTATGGCGGAGTGGTGTCTGCGGATGCCTATACACCTCCTGCTGGAGACCACGGACACTGACAAGGGATGTGTTTACAAAGTCTTTGAGGTAAGGCACACATTATGGGCATTATTATTCCTCATCAATTTTACAGTGTGTCTGATTGGTTTGACAGGATTATAAAACATCGAGTCTCCCTCACGCGATCCATTTTCCCTGTTGAGTACCCCTCTCGGAACCCCCACATATCATCTCTCTTTGTTAGACTCTCTAACGCCCGATGTGTTCCGGACAACACAATAAACATCAACAATGGCTGCGAACGGGAGATTCAACCTCCCAACAGCTGAAGAACTTGAAGGGCTATTCTTGTTGTTTAATTTGATGTAAAATCAAAACACTGACAGTGATAGGTATTTGTAGTATATATATGCTACCAGACCTAATGAAATAAGGGCGAACAGGTCAGCCACAACAGTGACAACACAGGGTATCGTTACATTGCCTACTATTAATGTGGTTTTTTTTGTCATATATATATAACACAGATTCCACAGATGGAATTTCGGAATAATAAAACAGTTATTGCCTTGGTGTGAGGGAGACCTGAAGAGTTGTTTCCCCGAGATAAATCATGTTTCCTTCGCCCTCGGGAAACATGATTTATCTCGTGGAAACAACTCTTCAGGTCTCCCTCAAACCAGGGCAATAAGTGTATAATGTTATCTTCTGACAGTTTTAATGGCATGGTAACTCTCTGATGTATTTCCTTACCATGCTACTGTCCAATAGTTTTCCTGGTATTAAGTCATAGTAAACTTCAATGCCCCATGCAGCTTCAACCCAATCAAGCATTCTGCTTCAGTAGATTAAAGGTAATGCCATCATTATTTAGAATATCTGGGAAGAATGTTAAAAAGCAGGAAAAATGGAATTATGTAAAAGTTATTGACTGTTACAATCAGATAGTTAATAGTGGATTTTCACCATGATAAGTCATTGTACATAAATGTACATGTGTTTCCTAAGTCATTGTACATTAAAGTACATTAAAGTACAGAGAAAGACATTTTTAATAATCACAGCATATCTATAAAGTTAGAACATCTAAGAAGGGCTTACCCGCCCTTCACTATTGTGTATTATCTATCTATTGATGACGTCATGTAATAACTAACAATGTAAAACTGCACCCCATTTTTAGTACTTCAGGGGCTGAAATATCTTGAAAAAATGTCCTGATGAAGACTCGCACATAGAGTCGAAACTAGTTACCGTAATAAAAACCCACGCAATGGTAACGCTTGAGCGTGTTGTGATTGAAACCTACCTGGATTTATATGCAACTTTTTATTCAATCGCCCTGCATACCTTTCGGTATCCACACTCACAGCGCAGTACCCTGCCTACTCAACCAACCTACTCAACATTGACGTTGGCTCTATCTCGCATGTACATTTTAGTGTTATATCTATCATTTGAGAAAAATGCTCAACCCCCCCCCCCCACCCCCCCAAATTTTTTATTTGCAGCTGATATAAGGAAAATAAAAACCTTGAGATAATAGGCTTGTGTACAGTAAAGCACATGTCCACAAAGAACAAGTGTAGAAGAAACTGGATAATGATTCCAACAACAAATGAAAATGTTATGATGCTCTAATCTTGGGTATAGGTACACTTGTACAAGACGTTTTTTGTATCATTGTGTGACAGGTACTGAACACAGCAGTGCGTGGCCACACACAGGAGTCACTACTACAGGCCAGACAACTCCTAGCTGGTATGATCCAGGATTCTGACTTTGAGTTCCTTAGGGACATGTCAGGTTTCCTACGTAAGGCGAGCACGGAGTCCATCAACTCTCAAACGGGGGCCCACTCCGGGGAACAGAACCACGATAAGAATACCAACATGGAGCCAGTAGAACTGGCCGCCAGAACGGTACGTCATCTGTTATTCTTCAAAATGAAAACTATGTTTAAATTAAACTTTTCATGTTGCAAAATTTGAAATGGAAAACTTAATTTTTAATCTCCAAAATTAACAACAGTTAACGACTCGGTGAGTACAGGGCATTTTATCAATATTTTGATTAATGGTCAGCCACCTGATTGTGTATGCGGGTCAGTATTGTAATATCTGGTTACAGTTGATTGGCCACCTTGTAAACCACCTGTGTCACTTCCCTATGGGAGCGGGGGCAGCACGGCTCAACAGCAACATTCAGGAGCACCATGATAATGACCAGTGTGAGATAGACGACCTCAAACAGGAAATCTTCTTTGCTTCAAACATTCAGGTACAGTTCCTATCTAGAGGTCAAGGTCACTAGTAACATTAAATGTCAAGGTCACCTACTTCATTAAATATCACCATATTAAATGTCAACGTCACCTACTTCATTGAAAATGTCAAGGCCACCGTCTTCATTGAATTAATTCATTAATTTCAATAATATTTAATGTCAAGGTTACTTCATTGAGTGGTTTGATTTCAAACATCTTGAAATAACTATAACAGGTTGATTTATTTGGAACTGAAATTGGTACCATTCCCTCTTTAATAACAGAACATCATCAAGTCTGAAACAGTTTAGACTTTGCTTCTACCAGGATGCAACTTTGTTTCATAATTTTCCTTATGGATGCTCTGTAACAAGAATGACATCAGGAAATCATAATTCTCTAAACAAGATTACGAGGGAGGAAAAGTAACAAAAGTGCATTGAAGCAGTTCGATCATTATAACCTATTCCCAACATAAGAGAAAAATTGATACCTTGTTGATGTTCCTAACAAGGTGTTTTAGGATGTCTGTATAATATGTGCCATGGTGATGTTACGGAAGTCTGTTAGTTTGACGGTAATGCTACACTGTTTCTCCTCGTTTCAGTTTTTTGTGCTGAATCAGAAGACACTGATATCCTTCATAGAGTTGCCTGCTCAGGTAGGATCTGTGATCAGCTTCCAGTGATTATGTGTACACTGTACAGATAAAATATTCATCTGCAAGATGCTAGGATTTTGAATCATTCACAAGAAGTATAACTTTAACATAAAATAAATTAACATCCAAATATGGAATAAATAGATATAAATTTTGAAAGGTTCAAATGAATAAGCACAGCTATTTACATAAATAATATTTTGAGCATTATTTATTTTCGTTTTGTTCAGTTACCATTGGGTTCAATACCATAGATGGAATATTTTGACACATCTAGAGTATTTTGATTTTAAAGCACACAAATTCAGTGCTGAGATTTTTGTATTGTTGAGCAAAACAAACAGAAGATTGAACAGTTTCTTGAATTACCTATGTGTTTTTGTAACCAGTTGGATGTGCCAGGTGGAGGAGTGACCGCCGGCCTGACCACAGCTAGGAGTGTAGGACGAGTGTTACTGAGGGATTTGACAGGGAAGTACTCTTGGGAGAGCTCGGTACTCTACGCCCCACCCTGGTGTCAACAGGGATCCTCAACACACAGTACGTGTATCAGTCTGTTTACTCTTTCAATCTACTAAATCTTCAATGGTAGCCCTGAAACTGTGTTTTGTTAATAAGGGTAGCCCTGGAGCTGTATTTTATGACCTACTATGAAATAAATGTGGCCCTAAAACATTGTTTCCAATATGTAATAAAGTGGCTCTGATTATCTGTTTTGTGTCTCCGTGTGAAATGTAGGTGGCCCTGAATCTGTATTTTGTGTCTCTGTGTGTAATGTGGGTGGCTCTGAATTGGTATTTTGTGTGTGATATGGGTGGACCTGAATCTGTATTTTGTGTCCAAGTGTGCAATGTGAGTGGCCCTGAATCTGTATTTTGTGTGTGATATGGGTGGTCCTGAATCTGTATTTTGTGTTGAGTAATATGGGAGGCCCTATATTGGTACTTTGTATCTCAGTGTCTAATATGGGTGGCCCTGAATCTGTATTTTGTGTTTCAGTGTGTAATAAGGTAGGCCCTGAAAATGTATTTTGTATGTTGTGAGTAATGAGGTTAGTTATGAAGCTGTATTTTGTGTGATGTGGTAATGCATGTGGCTGTGAAATTGATTTGTTTGTGTTAGGGTATTGATTAAAGATTTATTTCTAAAGATTTATTTTTGTGTTGTAGATGCAAAAATATTACTAGAGCTGCTGAATGATGGAAGCCTGGAGCCCCTTATTATACAAGAGGATCTGGAGGCCCTGCCCATAGCCAGCAGCTCAGTGGTGGAGCGTCTCGTCAATGAGATTCCTCACTACCGCTCAACATCCCAGGGTCAGGATAACCTCAATGATGTAAGAGCAAGGGCAACCGGCAGGATTATCTCCTCTTTATTATAATAATAATTATAATAATTCAAGGTTTTTATATACCGCTTTATGACACAACCTAGTTAGTAGGTAATCTCAGAGCGGTTCACAAATTATTATCGATTGTTATAGGGCCTTTGCAACCAGCAATATCTTTCTCAACTCACTGGGGAGCATACAGCCGGTGCTGCCATTTCAGCGCTCACAATTAGCATTCAACAATTCTAGCACTGCCCATTGTTGTTCAGTATTAAGTAAAGTCATTTTAATAAAATGTTCCTATGAACAATGTCTACAAAGTACTGATTTGTAAGCATTACATTCAAATCTGTGTACATCTGAAACGTTCTCTAATATCAGTTCAGCTAAAAATATTAATTCTTCGTAAATTATTTTGTATAAGAAGTGCATTTAATTCAATGTTTGACCCGAATTTCTACAGATGTTGAGGTACATTGGTTGTGCAAGTCCCGAATGTCTCCTCATCCCTGGCGTTGCCCTGAACCTCGAGTCACCAGCTCCCGAGGGATTCAGCGAGGAAGCAGAGACTAACATGACCCAAATGGTGATTAAACAAAAGGAGGCGGAGTTGAACTTTTACAATGAGCATAAACGTGACACTAGGTAAGGACGACAAACGATGACATTGCTACAAGTTTTATTTTCATCGATTCCATTTCATGTGCGGTAATCCAACTACAGGTTGATGTTTCAGGACTGAAATGGAATTATTCTGTCTCAAATGGAAATGAGTTTCTTGCTCAGCAAGTGAAGTTTTGCTGTGGTATGGTGTCTGTCATCTATTAACTTTTCTTTTTAAGACTACTATAACTGAGCAGTTACACTCATTTTAACTGAGTTATTGAAAAGCTGTTTGCTAATGAGAAGGGGATAAAAGAGTGTTATCCAAAGGAGGAAAAATACGTATGCACTTTTCTCGTGATTGGCAAACAATCAGAGATTAAAAGAGCGGGTGAGCAAGTCATGTCCATGGGCCACTTGCTTAAAATTACAGTTTTTCCTTTTTCGCCACTAACTAAACATCAGAATTGTTTTATTTCATTTTATTTTTGTTATACTTCTTGATGGTTGTGTTTGTATGATGATTTAGTTGTTTATATTAATGTTCTATATATATTAAGAGTTTACTTACATTCAGACCACATGGCCTGTAAGGCTAAGTAACCTTTGGTGACCTTTGGTGACCATGGTGCAATGTCTGTCCTCACACTATCAACCTGTTACTTTTGTTACAAATAGTAAACAAAAACTTTAATCAAACTCAACCAGAAATTGCTGAAAACGTAGCCTCTCCAAACAGACTAGGAAACAACATGACCAAGTTTGAACAAGTTTCAAATACATTTTAAGCAGGACAGTTATGAATTTAGATTTGTGCCAATTTGGGGGCTTAGACCTTTTAGAGTGCCTACCAAAATGAGTAACTGTGAGAATAAAGTTCTTTGCTGATGCCATTGGATTGATATCTGAGAATGGCTGACAGTCCTAGTTATGAGTCGGGCCACACCCAGAGTTCATAGTTCAAAAATGCTAATCATGGGTATAATGCTTAATGAGTTTGATCATTTTGGACCATGAAATGAAGTACTCCAGAGGTTTGACAGGTGTGCGATTCAGGCCTATTGAGCCTTTTGTAATTTTTACTATTTTTACATTGTAAGTTGTATGTTTAGTTAGATATCAGCATCTGTAAATTTAATCATTTACTTATTTTTGCTTTTTTCAAGCATCTTGGATTATATTTATCCTGACATTTTTTAACAATTTATTATTATATTGCCAGTTTGAAAAATGTGTTTGCTTCAGCAGTGGAACTTTGTGATTTAAATGTCAATTAGGGGAAAAGTAAAACAGCTGAAAAGATTATTTTGAGGAAGGAAAAGTACATAAAAATGCTGAAATTAATGTTATGGACTAAACTATGACTGAAATGCAGTCAATTATCTAGATACATTTTGGCCTTATAATTGGGTTGGGTGAATAGTGGAGGGAGGAAATGTAGAAAAAAATGTTTTAGAATATAAAAAAAATAAAATATGTTGGCAATAAGCAAGGTTTTCCTGAATCTTACAAAGTTCACCTGTGTATATTAAAATTCATTAAAGTTAAGCATCAACCCATTAAGTTGATACCTAACAAAGTGTTATGATATGCATGAATATTGTATGTGGTTGTATTCATGTATATTTTAGTTAACGAATAGTCATTGTATATGCAAATTTACACTTGGTGAATATGCAAATTAGTTTATGAATATGCATGAGCATCTTTAACAATTTTCCTCTTTGCTTTTTATTTTTTTATCAGACGAAAGGAAACATTAATTCAGTAAGTGCCTATAGATAAGCACATAAAACCTGGCCAAGGCCACTGGAGCTGTCAACCCATCAATATTTTTTCTCTTTCTGTCACAATATTTATTTTTATCTTACCTGGCTGAAAGTGCCAAGTGAACTTGTGTTATGGTGCGGCGACCGTCTTCTGTCAAATGCTTGTTAAAGTACAACACCTCTCAGGAAGTCAACATTTGACTGGTTTTATCCAGTTTGAATTGAAAAATGGCAGATGGATGTCATGATTTCTTTCTGTCTGAGATTTATCTACTTTTCAAGGAAAGGATCCATGATGACTATCATGGTTTGAGAACAACTTACATGAATTTTTACTAAAATAGGTGAGCAATACAGGCCCAACATGTCTCTTGTTTTGCTCTTATAATATTGATTATCATTTATATAAACAAGAGTGACATTATTTATTTATTTTTGTTGTTGTTGTTTCCCTATCTCATTTTCTGTGTTGCTGTCTGTCGTTTACATTCCGCATGTCTGAGTATTCTTCTGTTGCTGTAGGAAATCGTTTGTGTGAGAATGTGGTGGTGAATATATTGTTTTTGTTGTTAGAATATGTTAGAAATTGTATTGTGGTCAATATTATAGTATGTTGAGGACTATTCTTAACTTGTAGCTACTGTAGAAAGGTATATCGAACTGAAAGACATATTTAATTTGAAGCTAGAATTTGTTTTTAAGTTACCTAGAGCAAAATCATGTACACTGTTCTGGACATTTCTTACGTTTTCTGTAGTAAAGCAAATATGGAGTGGTAGATATACTGTAATACGATTTCAATGGTAACGGGTATTAGTAGTTAAACTCTTAATCTCTTACCATCAATAATAGTTATTAGGAACTGTTCTGGGAATGGAGTATATGTTTGTTTCTTTTAAATCTCACATACTTAAAGATGGAGTTTTTGATGATTTTTAACAAAACTTTCTATAACCTAAAAGATGTTTTTTTTGAAGATTTTTAACAGAATTTTCTATAACCTTTAAGATAGATTTTTTGAAGATTTTTAACAGAATTTTCTATAACCTTAAAGATGGAGTTTTTGATGATTTTTAACAGAATTTTCTATAACCAAACTCTTTTTACTCTTTATACAACGAAGTTACAGTTTACTGGCGGTACTGGTTAAAAATCTGTTTTCTGTTTTTGGAAATAACTTTTTTGTGAGATGTCGGTATGTGTTGTTTCAATATTGAATGTTTTGGTCTTGGCTGCCAATAAGAAGGATCACAGAGCTTGAGGGGGAATTTGTGTCACTAACAGAAATTTTACTGTGAACATTTATGGGGTTTTATTTTTGCAAAGCTTTAATATATTAACACTTTAAAAATATCATTTATTCATTGTGAAAGAGTGTGCCAGGATTTTACATTATTTTACAGGTGTATCCCATATCCAATGTATACATGTGCTGTAGTTAGCGTCCTTCGATATATCACAAACCAGTATTATCCTATAACCCATTAAATAGATTGAAGGATTGTATCGTCTTGTGTTTGGGATGTTGTCTGTATTGACATTTGAATACATTTTTAATGATAGAGGAAGCACTATTTTGAACATGTTAACTTCTGCAAAATTATTAATTTCACATCATGAACATTTTAAAAAAAAAGGATAGATATTTAACTTTGTAAGTTTTTTTATTAATTTTAAAATTCATTGCAAAAAAACAGAAATTCCTTCAGTTAAGGTTGTGATATTTATGTAAGAATTAAAGCCAGTTGATTCATAAAAGAGATCAGACAGATTGACAGTAACGTGGTAAGTTGGTATTAAACAGGAAGCCTATGTGTGTTGTGAGATTTTGAGCTGTTCATCAGAGCTAAACAGGAATCATGTCTCGTGTGTAACTAGCTTATAATACACTAACTGCTCTTCACCTCAACACTACAGTATTTACTTCTAAATACATTATTGACCATACATTATTTACATCTCATACCTTATCATCAGACCTCAGTTTCCATCCTTTGTATTGTTTATTTGGAAAGTTATGCTAATTTTGATAGCCAGTATAAATGCTTGACATAATAATTCATGTTCATTTCAGTGTATTTCATATTTCTTGCTAGTTACCTAGTTTTATTTTAAAGAAATTGCAATTTCTGAATGATAAAAATAATTTTTGAAAGTTTGTTTTAGTGACTTGATAAAATAAAAGTTCTTTTCAATTCTTGGTATATAAGAAATTGTTCTAAAAACATGTTTTAAGGCATTCTCTTTGTACATTCTTTCCATTGAAAAAACTTAAATAATATTTGTTGATATTTTACTGTCATATCAGCAGACAAAACAGGAAATTTGAACAAAATGTTTCAAAGTCGAAAATTTTCATGCAATTCCTATGTGGATTTTTTTTAAATGACAGTCCTTTTTTAAGCGCTGTATCTAATATATCTGTATGCATAAACAGTGAAACCTGTCTAAAATGGACATCATCAGGATCAGCATTTCAGTTCAGAATAAACAGGTATTCAGATTTCACAGGTTCAATTTTAATACATAGAAGTATATACAATGGAACCGCTATATGAATGTCTGATATATACAGGTTTCTAGATTCCACAGGGTCATTTTCAAAGAAGTGTGTTCCGTGGAACCTGTAATAAAGGTCTAGTTTATACAGGTATCTAGATTACACAGGTTCAACTTACGTAGAAATTTATTCAGAGGAACCTTAGTGAAAGTCTGGGTTGTACACACAGATTCAGTTTACATGGAAAAGCACATTGTGGGACAATAATGAATGTCTGGTTTGTACAGGTATCTAGATTACACAGATTCAGTTTACATGGAAAAGCACATTGTGGGACAATAATGAATGTCTGGTTTGTACCAAATAAGCATTGCTTCTTGACCAGTACTGCTGAACATGGCTTCAGAATATACATTGATCTGTATTGAAATGTTAACTAATGTAAAAAGAGAAAAGAAAAGTTGAGAATATTTCTTGTCATTTAAAATGCTGAACCTTACCAGGACTATACCTTATCTGAGTCGATGTATCTGTCCACAGTATGCTGGCCAAGTCACAGATGCCGACAGAGATCCAGGACCCTGTCTCGCCTTTCCAGATCTGTCGCATGTTGGTCGACCAACTTGGCCTATTGGCCTGGGAGAAGAGGTAAGCTATTGTGGAAAACCACAAATAATTACTTTGTTTGTGAAATTGCAGTTCCATCAAAAATTCCATCACAAATTTATCACATTTGAACAAGCCTGCTTAAAAATGTATACCGGGAATTGTTCGTCCAGTTGAACTTTCTCCCTTTGCTAAAATGATACATATTTGCCCAGTGTTGATTTCGCCTTCACATTTAATTGCTTAATATGATGTCTCCTAATGTTCATTTTAATGATAAATTCGCCTTCATTTTCACGGGCCAAAAAGGCGAAAGTTAAACTGCAGCGATAATTTCCCAGTATACAGTATGTGTTACCGACAGTTAGAGACTACAGCTTTAGGTTGCAACTGACCTTGACCTTTGAATTGTTCCAGGTGCCATTTTGATTTGTTGAAAAAGAGTGACAAGTTACTTCGGGAGATGAAGCACTTAGATAATCAAAAATGGTAAGTGCTGACTGATCGGATGAACTGTAACTATTTACAATGATTTCAGGAGTGTATTTTGTGATTTTATTGTACACCTGACAACTGCTAAGGGGAAGTTCTACTTGATCGTCACTGTTATATTTTGGTGGGTGAGTGGTTGGTTGGTACAGTGGCTAGCACACTTAACTTTACGAAGACAGCCAAGGGTTTGATTCCCCATTCAGACATGGAAAGGTTTTGGGTCACCTGTATAACCAGATGAGTTTTCTCTAGGTACTTTGGTTTCTTGCCTCATTAAGACCATATGCAGGCTTTCATTTTGGCCATAATAAAAAAATATAAATAAAAAAGATTAATTGTAATACTTTCATATTAGTCATTCGTACATGGTCAATTGGTGATGCATAAGGGGGGAGACTCACTCATGTTGACCAAAATTTACCAATCTCCCTCGAAACTCCCTCATTGAAGTCTAAACCCACACAAACTCAAAAATCTACATCCTGTGGTCAACTGGTCTCCTAGTTACTCAAGGGTGTGTGTAATGATCATAACAGGTGTGTCTGAATCAAATTAATGCTTTTTGGGGTAATTTTGATACATCAGAGGGAGAGATAAACTGAGCAAAGCTGAAGTTTCAGTCACATTTCATGCACTTTCTCCCTCTTTAAAATGAGAAATGAGGGAGATCTCCCTCATTGGAGGTTTCAGAGGTTGACACCTATTATTTTGGGATCAAAATATTCAGTAAGTATTTCTGACTGGATACAGGGTATATTAGGTTATTTATTTTTGTCTGACATGCATGCATGAACCAATGGAAATACTAGATTCCAGACAGAGGCTATTTAGTGTGACATGTTTTGTTTCAGCCGAGAAACTCACAAGTTTGCAGTGATTTATGTGGCAGAGGGCCAAGAAGATAAAAACTCCATTCTTTCTAATTCGGGTGGCAGCAAAGCATTCGAGGAGTTTGTGTCGGGGCTTGGCTGGGAGGTGAGATATGATGGAGAAAGATTTTAATAAAATAATTTAATATTGATTCGGATATTAAATTAAATTCAATGGTTTTAATTTTGATTGTTATAGAATGCATATTGTATACCAGGATTTTTTTGCCATTCAACTGTAAAATCATATCGCTCCATGTTAAATTCACCCTTCACATTTGATAACTATATTTATTATGTTGCTTACAAATGTTCGCTGTAATGATGAATTATAGTACCATCTCAAAAATGTTCTTTGAAAGGATCGAAACATGGAAATATCGAAATTGTAAAAATTGGTTGCTTGTTTTAATACCTCGTGGTGTAAGTGGAGCTTCATGGACAGACAGTAAGGTTTAGGAAACACTTGTAACTGGTAGAAGTTTACCTTTGTGATGGATATCTTTAGTACTAACGAATGATCACTGATTGTTATTATTTCTGTACATACAAACATACTGGTGATTTCAAATTGACCCCTTATTGCCTGTGAATTATATTGAAATAACTCATAATGAAAAATATAATGGTGGTATGGTTGCGCAGTGGAAAGCGCACTTGCCTTTCACCAAGACGACTGAGGTTCGATTCCCCAATCTCACATGAAAAGGTACAGGGCCACCTTCCCAACCACTTGGGTTTTCTCCTGGTACTCTGGTTTCCTCTCACATTAAGACTCCCTGCACGCCAACATCCAGGCCAACAAGAGGGATTAATATAAGTTGATATAACTTGTTTTGCAATTGTTGTAAAATAAATAAAGTTTAATTAATTAAGAATGAATAATAAAATTTAGTTTGAAGAAAAATCAAACCCTGTAGAGTCTGATGAGTTTTCCCCTGTACCAGTTATACTAGGAAGTTAATCATTGACGCTGTTTGCCCCAGATTGAGTTGAAGACACCCTGTATAGTATGATGAGTTTTCACCTGTACCAGTTATACAGAAAGTTTATCATTGACGCTGTTTGCCCCAGATTGAGTTGGAGACACCCTGTATTGTGTGATGAGTTTTCCCTTGTACCAGTTATACAGAAAGTTTATCATTGACACTGTTTGCCCCAGATTGAGTTTGAGACACCCTGTATAGTGTGATGAGTTTTACCCTGTACCAGTTATACAGAAAGTTTATCATTGACGCTGTTTGCCCCAGATTGAGTTGGAGACACCCTGTATAGTGTGATGAGTTTTCCCCTGTACCAGTTATACAGAAAGTTTATCATTGACGCTGTTTGCCCCAGATTGAGTTGAAGACACCCTGTATAGTATGATGAGTTTTCCCCTGTACCAGTTATACAGAAAGTTTATCATTGACGCTGAATGCCCCAGATTGAGTTGAAGACACCCTGTATTGTGTGATGAGTTTTCCCCTGTACCAGTTATACAGAAAGTTTATCATTGACGCTGTTTGCCCCAAATTGAGTTTGAGACACCCTGTATAGTCTGATGAGTTTTCCTCTGTACCAGTTATACAGAATGTTTATCATTGACGCTGTTTGCCCCAGATTGAGTTTGAGACACCCTGTATAGTGTGATGAGTTTTACCCTGTACCAGTTATACAGAAAGTTTATCATTGACACTGTTTGCCCCAGATTGAGTTGAAGACAACCTGTATAGTATGATGAGTTTTCCCCTGTACCAGTTATACAGAAAGTTTATCATTGACGCTCTTTGCCCCAGATTGAGTTGGAGACACCCTGTATTGTGCAATGAGTTTTACCCTGTACCAGTTATACAGAAAGTTTATCATTGACGCTCTTTGCCCCAGATTGAGTTGGAGACACCCTGTATTGTGCAATGAGTTTTACCCTGAACCAGTTATACAGAAAGTTTATCATTGACACTGTTTGCCCCAGATTGAGTTGGAGACACACCAGGGATTTATAGGTGGCCTTCAGCAGAACAGGACAACTGGTGATACAGCGCCCTACTATGCCACCTCCTTGTGTGAGTGTATATTTCACGTGTCCACACGCATGCCGTCGGGGACGGACGATGCCAGACACATAAAGGTAGGTGTTAACACAGGGTTGATATCAGTTTCATTTTGTATTTAATACCTACAATATTAGTACCTTAAATTTGTGGAGAAATCTTGTCGGAGAACTTTTGAAATTCAGTCTACCGGTAGTTTATTTTGAACTGAAATTGAATTAAAACTGTCGGCTACACTTGCTATATTTCATAGATTATATCAGTTTTAAACACAACTTTCTTTCTATTTGTGTCAAACTGGTTGCAAGCAATATTAAAAATCACACCTATGTAGCCATTCTGTCTGCTAAAAGTCAAAACAGTAAAAACAGTTTTGCAGAAATAATCAATCGTTTGTATTTTTCCACAGATGCGCCATCTTGGGAATGATGAGGTTCACATTGTGTGGACGGAACACAGTCGGGACTACAGGCGTGGAATCATACCCACTGAGTTTGGCGACGTCCTCATCATTATATATCCCCTCACTAATGGGCTTTACAGAGTCCAGATCAACAAAAAACCTGAAGTATGTATCAAACTCCACACTCCAATATATAACGTCAATGTATTGCTTACAAATTTACAGATTTACATAAATTTGTAAATTGAACATTGTTGAACTTTCCTTCCATTTGGTTCATGAGCTCAAGAGAATAATTTCAATTTTGTTACTTCATTCTCAAAGTCAAATGGATGTTCCGTCATAGGTTGAAGGCTCTGATAAATGCTTATTTTGCACAAAAGAGCAGGAACCACTTATTTGAAAAACGTGTGCATCTAAAGATGTTGTGAAGATGCATACCCCTAAACAAAATGGGGTATCTGAAGAACAGTTTTTAGTACCACTGTGATGCATCAAGTATTCAAAGAATCACCATATTAAATCATTGTTGTCTCTCACAATAAAACAAATATATAACTGAACAAAATTCAAAATGTTTATTAGGTGAAGAAACCTTTGATTAATGCATTGTTCTGTTGCAGATACCTTTCTTCGGTCCCATATTTGACGGTGCAATATTGGATCGTAAGGTGTTACCTGGTCTAGTCCGAGCTACTGCAATCAATGCCAGTCGTGTGAAACGTAGTCTGATTCCCTTCTACCACTCATTGTATCCTTGGTCACTGACGATGTGATGTCCTCAGGGTTTGGTAAAACTAGCACAGAAAACTTAACTATAGCTTTGTCAGGAAGTAATTAATTGGAGTTTTATGGAATGAATGTCGGAAAAAAAGAATAAACATTCAGCCTGCACTTTGAAATTCATTTACTGTAAGTCTTATGTGTATCTGAATCACCAGATTTATCTTGGCAATATTTGTTATACAGTACGCTAAAAAAAAGACAAAAAACATGTGAGTTTCCAATTATTCTAGATTGCATAGTTTTGTTGGTAATTAAAGTGACTATATCTAGACAGCACATTGTTGAAACTTTAAATACATACACAAGTAATGCTAAATAAAAGTAGTGATCACCAGACAAGTTGTCTCCCTTGACTACCAACCAGTTATGAGGAACGTGCCAAAAATTTTAACATGGTGATCCAGCACCATGTAGATCTGACCATGTTTGAGGACTTCTCAGCTAGTGTCTTCTCACCCGTGCTGCCTCCTAACTCCACCAGTAAGTCAACTCTTGTATCTCGTGATACGCCATAGTCATGATCCATATTTTAATTGCTCAGTAGTGAATCGTGTCTTAATCTCTGTTATATTTACTGTATTCAGCAGTGTTTTTTGGACAAAAGATATTTTAGCAAAGTTCACCTTTAAATTGGGTGAAAATCACCAAATTGTGATGATTGGATGTTTTTGTTTGTTAGGGATACCAAAAAATCTGTGATTAAATACTTTTGAAGGTTTTCGATATCGAACCTACCAGTAATCATGGAATATTTTTGGTTGTTTGGGATACTAAAATCAATGTCGGATTAAATGTTTCCTATTTGGTGATCAGTTTCAGACCAGAGCCTTGACCTGCCTCCCAGTGCCAGTTCTAACTCCCTGGAGCTGACCCAGCTGGCCGGGCCAGAGCAGGTGTCGCCCCCTAGTGGTCGCCAGAGCAGAGGTAGGAAAGCTCAGTCAGCCCTCTGGCACAAGGGACGAGACAACCTGATTTTCTTTTGAGCTGGTCATTGTTGGCAGGGTTTTTTGTGCGAAAGTTGGTGTTGGTGTGTCCGTTGCTGTGCATGTTTTCTAAATGTAACGGCCGCAAAATTCAGATTGTTAACATGCCTTAGCAGAACAACAATTCACACATTTCTCCCACACATATTAACGTTCTTGCTAAAAACTCCTAGTCAGTTAATATCTAGACATCATAATTGTAGATTAACAAATTACATAGCATAACTTCTGTCTTTATTACTATGGGTTAAAGAATGAATGGCATTTTCTTTTATTTTCGAAAATGGCATTTTGTACAAGAATGATTAAGGTGTGATTCCATGTGTTTGATAACACATTGATTGTGCTTGGTGTGGTTTGGTTCACTGTGAAACATGCTGTGCTTGTTTGTGATGAGTTTCGAAGATGTCAACCTTTTTTTGGGGGACAATAGCTTACTTACTACATTTGTTCTTCAGCCTTCTGCTTCAGACACGTTTTCCATTGCCTTGTCAGTCGTGTACAGCTGTCGCGTTTCATTTAAAACTTTTCTTCTTCAATACAAAAACATATTTTGAGGAGGGAGGATTACTGACTAGACAGTAAATTAATAGTTCAAGATTGATCGAGTTTGACTTTGAAGTCATCTTTACCAGCTTAACAAGTTATACTTCTTTGGATTATTATTAATTACAATAGATAATCATCATAAATTAAGTTTGCATAATAGAAACAAATAACTGAAATTGTGGCAATTTGGATTATCATTATGAATCAATTTCGTGTGATAGGAACCATTCCTCTTAAGTTGCACAGTCTGTTTGACATAAAATCACATGGTTTAATGTACAGAAGATTATGCAGTGTGATCTCATTCTTATAATGACATTCAGAAAATTGTCAATGGTATGAAAACATGCATATCATACAATTTCTCAGTAGTGTCCTAAGATTATTGTAGAAACTTCAACATTTTGCATTTTTGCAAGTCACTGCGATTACAGTACTTTAAAAAAGTCCAATCGATACTTTCTGTGAAAATTATTTTAAGAAAACAACCACCAAAATCACTTTTTCTTATAGGCTGTTCACATTTTCTACAGAATGATATAAAATAATATGTTTACAAGTTGAATCTCCCATAATTGTTTTTATTTCATTTTTTTCTAGTAAACTTTTCGTTTAAAATGTAAAAAAACTACTTAAATATTACTTAAACAAGGCCCGTCCTCCTATGACCCTGGCTGTTGTGAGGACATTCAACCCCAAACAACCAAATCAATACTTAAACAAGCAGAAAAGCATGATTCACAGTAGAATATCAAACTAAACCTGATTAACTCCATAAATGTATTTCTTCAGTGCTTTGTATATTGTATACTCTGATGTGGAAATCTGGGAATTCACCTTTGACCTTATGACCTTTGACCTAGCCTTGACATGTTAAGCCCCTTACACTTAGCTAGTATTGATAATACCTCATTCAAAGGACATTTGGAGATGTCAAGGTCATCTATTTATATTACCTTTCTTCATTCAAATGACCTTTAGAGAGGTCAAAGTCATCTACTACAGGTTGTTGTAAACATGACCTTACGCAATACGTTCACAGATTTTCGACACCAAATATGAAATACGAAGCATTGTAGTTGGCTAGTCTAATCAACTAACATAATATACAGACTTATCTTATGTATCTTTTGTATCTCATGTATTTTATAGTTACATTTTTATTTTGTCTTATTTTATGCAAATATTCTTATCTGTATATATTAATGTATGATTATCATAAAAAAAATCTTCATTAACGCAAAGGAATCTCATTGCACGAACAGGGGTTCGATCCCTGGTATTGCCCGACTTTATATTATAAATAGCCTTACAAAAAAAGATCAGAGGGTTTTGGACATTTAGTTTTACCTGCGGCAATATCTAACTGAGAGGAGGAGAGAAAATAATTTCATGGAAGATAGTTATAAATGCTTTATAAAAGTTGTTATAAGTACAGTGGTAATGAGTTTTGTTGGTAAATGTAATAAGTTATCGAGTGTTGTTAGATGTATATATAAACAAAACTGAAGTTAAAAACAGTATATTGCATAAAAAAACCATAAACGTCCTGGTAGATACAAGTGGAATACAAACTAGAACAAAGGGGTCCAAGAATTTGTTATGAATTTGTTTGAAGAAACTGTAGAGTGAATGAAATAGATTTTAACTATGCATGAATTTCAAACACTAGATACGAGGAGGATGTGTTTGTTTGCGTACACACCTATGTAGCCAGCGGCACCTTCGTGTCGGAAGTAACCTCTGGAAGTATGTTATAATGTATGAGTGAGTCAACTTTTATATTTTATGAATGCATTTTTGCACCTGTCAGGACAGATTTATTTTATTCAATTTGAGAAATATGGGGACGTTATATAATTTGCGTCACTCATAAGCTTTCGTACAAATACCACGGATAAAGGAGGGACTCTTATTTTACACAAGAGTGTTCCACATGGCGTCTCTGGTTGTACATTTTCAATATCATATGAAAAGCAAAAATTCAAAATATTTGCCAAATGTGTGTATGTGCTGTGTGTGTGTGTATGTGTGTGTGATGTCACTATATATTGTAACCGTGGTGATAAGGGAGGCTGGTCCCTCCCCGAGTAGTGATTATATTAATAAACAGTTACACGGTCCCCCGAAACACTTTGTCTTTCATTTACGGAGTATAACTACCATGGTTGATATTGTTTTATTATTCCATTGATGAGATTTTGTCAAAGAAAATTTATTTGGTTGATTTTACCAAATGACATCTTATAAATGGTGCACACAATTTATTTTACACTGGGAGGATTCAGGTATGTCTTGTCCGGTAGAATTCTTGGAGTATTCATATTGTTCATTAAATAAATGAATGTCCATAGTCATAAAACATCATATATATATGTTAATGTGACCCTGCAGTGTTATTCTGAATAATCCCTTGCCTTGATTACAACACAAAACATGAAAAAAACCCCGACATTTTAACTAATTCTTAGGATAAACTAAACATAATAAATTTACACTTTCAAAAATCTTATACACTGTACAGAGAATAGCCTTCTGTAACAACAATTAATACATGATATTTTCGTATATTCTTAAAGAATAGTTTCGGGTGACAGAGTGTGTACATATAGTTGGAGATATGATAGTACCTCTGTTTTACTTTCTAGTTCCCCAGTGCCATCAGTATAACAGTCTGCCCGGGAAAGCTATTCTTCATCGGGTCAGACAACGCCAGTCGGCCCTGGACACACTTTAGGTACAGTCCACACTGGAATGTCCACTCTGTGTTGACCTGTGTGTGACCGTCCTAACCCCCACCCTCAACTAACGTAGTAATAACAGATATATATAAATGACCACTGCTTTCCGTAATATACTCTAACCAAGTCAAAGAATATACCTTAACTTGTTTCAAATGCATCTTCTTTCCAAAAGAATGTTGCTCCTAGAATATTAGAATTTATATTTTGTGAAAATTTATGAAAAAAACACCCTCCATGATTCATTAAAGAGATATGCAGGCCAGCACGCTTTAACAATACTCGGAAGAATAAATTATTAATTGAAATTATTCAAGGGGGACAACTCCAATACCAATTATAGGCACAGCGTAATTAGTAAGGTGTCCTGTCTTATTATCAATGGGAGAATGAACATAAACTTGGTTTATGGTTGTCTGACGCTATTGTTGATTGCATTGATTTTAATGCTGAATGACAAAAACAAAAGCAAAACAAGATGGATTCAATTTAAGAATCATTAGGAAATGATGGAGATTATTTATGAGCACGGTATAGTGACAGCGGATTAAGCAGCAGGAACCTGTACCTTGTGTACGAAGAGGTGTGGTGAGAAACATCACCCATTCACCACTATAAGCCCAGCCTCCAGTCAGGGGTGAGTTCTGGATATTGTCTGTGGGTGTTACAGAGACGGAAGACCAGTTGTAGATGCTTTTCTCATTCATTCTTCTTAGGAAACCTGTACACTGTATTTAGACATTTACAACCACATGTACAGAAACTTAAAACAGAGGAGTTGTGAAATATTCTTATCAAAAACCCTAATGACGGACTTAAAACAAAATTTATAGTAATTCATTAATGAGAATTTTTTATTTTTTTTAATCAGAATTGGAATTTTGAATTTTCATGTGAATTATTAAATGGCTCTTTAAAAGATCATTGGGATGTGGATGTGGGAATCTTGTCTAAATACGGTATATAGGACAACAAAGAGTACAGAAAAAACTCTTGTGTGTATACAGGGGCTCCTGTAGAGGGATTTCACTACTGAATCTATGCATGGATATATTTGACATGGTTTTTTAGTAACGTTCGTAGATTATAGTTTGATAGTACAGATATAGTGTGGGATATCATAGCATAGAAATATTCTTGTCCAATTTGAATTTGTTTTTCTGTGTGTGTGTATATATAGCAGTATTTTTCTTCTTCTTCTTCTAAAAAAATTAAATAATAATAATAAAGAATTTGAATTCACGTAGACAAAGTAAGTAGCTGGACATTGCTTCATGGGGTGTGTTGACGAAAGCAAGTAACAACATAAAACATGAAAAATGACATAAAACATCTGAATCGAAGTTAATTGACATTATACTTAAATAAGTAGTGTTAAATGTAATAAAGCTCTGCATGAAGAAGAAAAAAGAGAGAAACGGATAAAGAATATTGATCACAAAACTCAATAGTAACTTACCAGTGAATCATTACTGTGTCTGTGAGTGTGATGCCCCTTGTTGAGAGAAAATGCTATAGTTGTGTCCCCTCGATGCTAAATATCTTATTTGATAAGCAGGTCTCCATTCACTATTAAAAGTGTTTTTCATTTCATATTAATAGAATACTTCGAAAAATTCCAACAGGAAAGTTTTTTATTTATTACAATGGC